AACACCTAATTAATCATCTTCATGAACCAATCTGTTTAATTCTTTTGCTTGTATACATACAGGGGCTCACACTATAGGCCAAACAGACTGCAGATTCTTCAGCTACCGTTTATACAACTTCACCACCGCCGGAAACTCCGATCCGACGATAAACCAAGCTTTCTTGGGGCAGCTTCAAGCTCTGTGTCCCAAGAACGGAGACGGGTTGAGGAAGGTGCCGTTGGACAGAGACAGTGCGGCGAAGTTCGACGTGAGCTTCTTCAAGAACGTGCGTGACGGTAATGTGGTTTTGGAGTCTGATCAGAGGCTGTGGGGGGACTCTGCAACACGAGGTGTGGTGCAGAAATATGCAGGGACTGTGAGAGGCTTGTTTGGGCTGAGGTTTGAGTTTGAGTTCCCCAAAGCCATGATCAAGATGAGCAGTATTGAGGTTAAGACCGGAAGTCAAGGAGAGATTAGGAAAGTGTGCTCTAAGTTTAATTGAAGATGGAAATGCGTAAATGGAAAGTTGGAAACTCACAATTGCGTTGTTGTCGGTATAAAGTACTGTGATTTTCTATTATATGTTTGGTTTGGGGGAAAATATTTGGTGGGGGGAAAAGATTTTCGTGTTTTCATGTAAAAGAATAAGAAAAGCTTTGAGCTTTCGTGACTCCAGGAACGCACGAATTAGGCAACTTTTTTGGAAAAGTTCTGAGCTTTCGTGATTCCAGGAACGTGTACGGCAATTTTTCTGTCCAGCTGGCGAAGACAAAACGAGCGTTTTATTACTTTGTATCAGAAAAGAGCCATTAAAAACCGTATTCGTCGCCTGAGAGATTCGAACTCTCGCGGGGAAACCCCATGTACTTAGCAGGCACACGCCTTAACCACTCGGCCAAAGCGACAGAGTTATTGGCGGCTTTCCTTCAAGTTATTAGGTGCTTTATTGACAGAAAATTAGAATCACTAGCATTAACCATAATATTTATTGGGTTTGATTTCAAATTTACCCTAAAAGTTTAATATTGTATTAATATTACCCTCATAGTATTCAAAATGTTAACAATTAAGATTAGTATTTGACCAGTCAATGGTAGGTGGTAATATTATTACGATTTCTTCATAACAAATTTGTACCTAAAAAACTTCTTAATATTAAGTACTTTTGAGTGAAAAATTTTAAAACAAATTTGCATCTTATTTCATGTTTAATCTAGGGAAGTTAAATATTTCTTGATGTTTGATTATTTTACTTCTTGTGAACAAAAGTTAGGAAATTAAGAAGTATAAATGTTTGAAAATCCTTTTCAATGTCTTCTTATCTCTCTAAATTTTCCATATAGAGTTACCGCATTGATATTGATATAGTGCTTTCAGTTTACAGAAACAATTAAAGATAAATAATGTATAGGTCTCAGGTAAGCAAATTAATTACTACTACCTTAGGACTTTATTATAGTTTACAAATATAGTCTTATAATTAGGGTTAAGTAGTATTAAGTTATCTGCTTTTGATTTATTACTAAGACATAACTTGTGCCAAAAGAAAAAGTGTAGAATAAGTTGTAAATTTTTAGATGTGACTCGTGAATTTTTTATTTTTTATTTTTCAAATTCTTTGGTTTGGGCTTAATGGAAAACTTTTCACGAGTCCTCACCTGGTGTTTATGAGTTAAATTGAGAAATTTACAACTGATGATGTGTATTTTTATAATCAAATCAGGTATTGCTTCAAAAATAAACGTAAGACTCATTTCCACTGCAAAATAAATTTTATATTTAAAATTATAGGAGAATATTCCTTCCAATGCCGTAGCTGACTTATTTGGTTGGCCATTTACTAACTCCTGCCAGCACCTCATCAAGTGAACAGTTTTCTTAAACAAAAAAATTAGGTCATTAAAAAATATTTTTCTAATCCTAAATATAAGATTCTTTTTATAATGTAAATTATACTATAAAATAGATCTTATATTTAGAATCGAAAGAATAGATAATACTGTTTTTGATTTGGGATCAACCAAAGCACATGGAGCAAATGGATATACAGCTTTGTTTTACTGATCGGCGTGAAATGAGGTAAAAAAAAGAGGTACATGTCTATATGATATGGTAAAGAAATTTCTTAGAAACATTAATCTTTTAGTCATTATAGTTTTTACTTATTTATCATTCAATTTTTACACTTTAACTTTATGTAACTCAATTCTTATAGTTTTAACTCGGTTGTAACTCAATCTCTTAAGTTTGTATTGCTACAACTTGGTCCCTATACTTTTAATCATTTTATAATCTAGTCCCTTCTTTTATTGGATATATAATTTTATTTTTAAAAAACATAATAACTAAATTATAAAATAGATAAAACTATAGGGATCGAGTTATAACGAGTTAGGGTATGTTTGTATTAACATTAAGTAAAACTGACTTCTAGTCCAATTTACTTTTATAACTGAAGTTAGAGTGAAAATCAGTTAGTGTAATGTGATTTATGTTTGGATAGGTGCTTATAAAAAGTTAGTTGAAAAAGTTAAAAATTATTTGCATGATTAATAAAAAAGTTAGTTTAGTTGTAAAATGATTGAAAAAGGTATGAATTTTATTGAATAGTAGTATTTGAAATTTTATGTTTTTAATATGATAATAGTTTAAAAAAATACATAAAACTATTATGATAAAAATATAAATAGTTTATTTGTGAAATTATAAAATAAAAATATTTGTTATAGAGAAAAATTTAAAAACACATTGTAGATAATTAATTAAATATATATAATAGACAAACATGAGTATAAATTAAAATTTATTTGGTCTCTAATTAAAGTAAATGAAATCACATAACTAATTAGATCGTAAGCTTTGCACAATTTTTTCATAAGCCAGTTAGAAAAGTTGATCCAGATTATATTGGATAAGTCAGTTAGAAAAGTTACTTTTTTTTTCCATAAGTTAGTTAAAAAAGAAGCTCCATCTAAAAAATCTTTCTGAGTCACAATAAGCTACAAACCTTAGTTTCCCGCTTCTCTGTGTGCTTTTACCATCTGCAATGGCAATCTAAACGAGACCTTAAACTTCAAGGACGAAGTTACAATTGAATCAAAATTATAAGGATTAAGTTGCATCAAGTCAAAGTATAAAAATTAAGTTACAAATATGTTAAAACTAAAAGAACTATTTTAATGTTCTCAAAATTTTTTTAAAAGAATTCTGACATCAACAGAATATATTCAATTCACATTGCCTTAGTACCTAGACTTGACAGACCTGGAACAGTGACTCAACTTCGTCTTATTAGTCTATGTAATGTTTCTTGTAAAATTATTTCAAAGATTATGACTGCTAGGATGAGAAATTTGATGAGTAAATATATCTCATAACAATCGCTAGCTTTTGTGGCAGGATTACGCTGAAGACTAAAAACATTTCCACAACAAAAATTAAATAAGAGAAAAATAAAAAAATAATAATAATTAAATATCCTACACGTAACTCGGACTAAAGACTAAAAATTTCTCCAAGAAGTGGCTCACATCTTTGTTTTAGATGAATTATGATGATTGAGAAAAGAGTAGGATACTGTCATGTCAATTTCTTCAATTTTGGTTTCTTTTTCACCGCGTTAGTTTATCATGTATCAGGAATTTAGAAAATATACTTATATGATCACATATATAGTTTTTTCTTTATATATTTTCTCATATAATTTATTTTCATACGTGGGTAAGAAGCAAGAGAAAAATCAAATTTAATTTATTATGATAATCATTTAAAAGGCGATCAGCACATTTATTTTGTGAAAACCATTAATATTTTGAAACTTTTTAGAAAATCATAAACGTGAAAAGAAAATTGAATCATAAACCCAAAAAAAAAAAAACAGCAGCAAACTGAATCATAAACAAATATGAAAAGTGCAACCTCCTAAATTTAATTGGGTTTCACAGTGTTAAGGGTTATTTTAAAGAGGAATGAAGAGAAGTAAATTAGTATACCTGATTTTTAATATAAGACGTAATTTGGCTTATCAGCAGAGATTAAAAAATAAAATAAATTGCCTTAAAGTATTTTATTTATCATTTTTTTACAAATTAATTTACTCATAAGTATTTTAGAAAGATCATGTAATACATGTTATAATACTTAAGTTATTTTTAAACTTTCTTGGTTTTATCAAATTAGTCAATTATATCTTATGATACCTCTTATCTTAATTATAAGACCTTATTTGTAGACATAAATTAGATTTTATAATTATGATTGGAAGTAGTATCAAGTGCCGAAAGAAATATCAACTATTCAAGTTTATCATAAAAGATTAAAGAAATCAGAGATTTAAAAGTGAATCAAATCGAAAGAAATAATCATGAATAGTTATTTTCTGTGTGTATATATTAAGTAAAAATTGCAATGAAAGATAAAACAAAATTATATACATGTGTATTCATAGTAGTAATAATATTAGCACTAATAATAATAATAATAAGACTAAACAGATTAAAATTTAAAATGTTTCAAATATCTTTCTTATATTGAAGTTAGTTTTAATAGGAATTTTTTTGGGGTAAATTTTTAATAGGAATTTAAAAGGCAAATATATACACACAAACCAATGTTAACCGTTGTATCAAAACAATATTGATGGTAATAGTGTGACAAGACAAGGCAAGTTAAATACGCTCATTTCTACTATCACTCGCTTACGCTACCACAGCACCAACCCAAGCAGCCGGCTCTCTGCATTTTGTAGGTGCCTTTCTCTTCTTCTCCTTTCTTTTCTTTTATATTCCTCTCTTATTTCACTGGTACTTTCTTGAGGTATATAGTATATAGTGATATACTGTATCTATATATTTGTATATTATTTTCTCTCTCACCCATGTGTATACATCTCTTTGGCGGTTTAGCCTCGTGTTTCAATCGTTATCCGTTGGCCAAAAACAAAAAAAAAACAAAAAAGATTTCAATCGTTTTCCGTAGTTCAAGCAAAAGGTAATAATGCAGTCAAACAGCCCCACACGAAGCCCAAGAGGTCATCCCTGTTGCCGACATTCATTTTGTCATCCAATAGTTGGAGACGCCAATCTGGTGCTTCGTGCGGCGTTTGATTTTCTGGTTTCTTGTTGGCTGAAATGCCTCATCCTACGTGGCACGTCGTCGACAAGAAATTGCCATCAATCAATAACACTTATTTCTCGTTTGGCCCACTGGGAACACAAATCCATATGCGAAGAGGCACGAGCCGCTCTCCTCGTTGTGTCTGTAGAGTTATTCAGAGCAGAGGAACTATCTTCTTTTGACAAAAAAACCATGGCAATCGTAGATTCATGAATTATGCCGTCATGGTATGGGCAAACATTCATTCCCATACTCTGTTCAGTCTCATCCGCCTATCTAATATAATATATATGTGTGTGTGCGCGTGTGTGTAATCTTTCTTGTTTTAAATTCACGATTTGGATGACATTCTAATTTAATATTGATTTTCTGTCGCTGTTTCTTCAAGATTACTATATCACACTTTCAATTGCCTGTTACAGTGTCGAGTGAGACTGGTAGATTAATTTACTTCAAAGGTTTCGTGCACGATTCGTTCATCTTGTGGGTATTTCGCTACGTTGTGCTGCCATGACTCCTCCAACCCCAGTTTCTCAATTTAAATCCCTCTTTGGTGAACCCAATATTGTAACACCTCTTCAAAATCCCATCAGTGCCTATTCAAAACTTGGCTCGCTTTTCTTGCCCAGAAGGTTATCTGTGCAATTTCAGGCTCCTCGTGGGGATTCAAGGATGCCGTTGAGGGCTATTACTGTGTCAGCAACCACGGCCGAGAAAGCCAAGAAACCGTATCCTGGTGAATCCAACGGGTTTGTGGAGGAGATGAGGTTTGTGGCGATGAAATTGCATACCAAGGTGCAGGCTAAAGAGGGAGAGAAGGAGATCAGTCAACCTGAGGAGCGATCAGTGGTCAAGTGGGAACCCACAACTGATGGGTATTTGAGATTTCTTGTGGATAGCAAATTGGTTTTTGACACACTGGAAAAGATCGTCTCTGATGCTGTTTTTCCTTATTGTGAGTTCAATTTATAAGTTGCTTTTAAAGGGTTCCTTATCTATCTGTCAATCTATCTACCTATATAGTCTGATTATTACTATATTGTTGATCATGGTTTCCTCTTTTTGAGGAACCATTGCTGTCATTTATATTAATCATGTCTGTCCTTTGTTGTTTACATGGACCATAAGTTGGTATTCCTTGAATTATCTTATAATTTCTAATGGCTAAATGCTGAAGTTCTTAGTATCTTTCTGTAGATGCTGAGTTCAGAAATACAGGATTGGAAAGGTCTGCAAGCCTGGCAAAAGATCTGGAATGGTTCAGAGAGCAAGGTCATACCATTCCTGAACCTTCTTCTCCGGGTCTTACCTATGCACAGTATCTTAAAGAGTCATCTGTGAAGCATCCCCAGGCCTTTATCTGCCATTTCTACAACATATACTTCGCCCATTTCGCTGGTGGTAGGATGGTTGGGAAGAAGGTAACTGATCATATGCATAATAATCGCTACTCAAAATTCTTGGTTTAACAGAAACTAACTGGTTTAGAAAAGTCTCACTTGTGGACTAGCATGTCAATTGTATGACTCACTTGTTGCTTTGCTTCATCTCCCATATCGTAATGGCTTCATGATCGTTACTATGATTGTTACATGTTAGATATTGTTCTATAGATGAGAGAAGAAGGTATATCCGAAAATGAAGCAAGAACGTACGTGCTTTCTCTGTTGCATAGGTTGATGCACAAAATTCTACATCTGAGGCCCATAAGGGTATTGTCTATTTGCAAATACAGTCCTCTCTAGAGTTTTGTTGTAAATTTACTCTTTATGATTTGTTTTTACCTTACTCTGTATGCATCTAGTCCAACATAATGTGAAGATCTTGAACAATGAAATCTTCAACTTTTCTCGAGTTACTGAGAAAGCTGCATGTGAATGATTTACCACCACTTCTGGGAGGATATATGTTGGTTACCAGCAATAAATGGAACTCACAATATTGTTGATCCTTCTCATAATCTTAAGACGCAGGCTCTATGGTGTTTTAAAACTTCATTTTCAGTGATTTTCTGGAGCTGAGGGAAAGATTAGTAGTAAATGTTACTTTAGTCCTATGCTCAAGGGTTAAGACATTATTTCACTTAAGTTTTCAAGGTTAACTTACAGGTGGCAGAAAAGATACTTGACAAGAAGGTGTTGGAGTTCTATAAATGGGATGGTCAGCTTGCGCAGATGTTACAGAATGTGAGGGACAAGCTGGATAAAGTTGCTGAAGTAAGCTTCTTATAACATAAATCTTTAGCTTTTTTTTCCTTCAGATTTTATGGCTATTGCAATAAGTTGGTTCTATTGCGAGTAGCTGTATATGTCGTGCGGAGAAAACTAACAGAGGGTCAACAATAAAGAAATTATGACAGATAAAATGGAGCCTATCTTATAAAATTCTGTGCGGAAAAAGTTGATTTGTTTCCGTTTTTGTTATAAATTCTGTTTATTGGTAGTTGCCTTGACGATCGACCATCTGAAGACCATCCAAGGAGCCAATCAGTAGGGTCGAATGTTTGAATACTAGTCGAGTCAATCAGAATTGATTTATTTTCTTAATATTGTTAAAAACATTTCGAAATTCAACAGGCTCATATTTTCATCACCACTTGATATCAGTAATTCTTTTTTTCTCATATTGTAACACAGTCCTTGAAAATTTTGTTCCGCACGCACTTCATTGATTCATTGATGCTAAGATTAATACTCAGCCAGAATCAATTATCAGCCTAAAACCATTGTTATTTAATAAGTTGCCAGAGGCAATAGTAGCTTATAAGATAACCATAGTTGAGTTCGTAATCGATTTCGAGTTAACTTATGAGATAATCATGGATTTCGGTTCAGAGTTGATTTTGACATAGGGTCTCAATGGATTTTATTAGGAATGGACTCGAGAAGAAAAGAATCATTGTTTGGAAGAAACTAAGAAATCATTCAAGCTTTCAGGCGAAGTTCTGCGTCTGATATTAGTGTCATGATAACAGTTGTACTGCTTGCTATTTGCGTAATTATTGTGTAAATAATGGCAAAGCTTAGAACATTGTGTGACCTGCATATTATGTTATTTTCAATTCATAAGGTTGCCTATATTTGTAATTATGCATGTTGACAGCTCTGTTTAACGAGTAAGCATTGTTTTCAACTTACTGAATTACAAAAGTTATCGCACTTCAATGGTAGATAACCCATTAAATATGTGTCATTGAAAATTTTTTCAAATTTACTCATGAATGAGGTTGCGAAATAAAGTGAAAAATATAAACACTTGGGTTTAAGTATTAATTGCAGAAATGAGATTAACAAATAATCACTAATTATTGTTTAAATGATTTATATTTTGAACTAAACAATTCTTAGGAAATAGGAGGAAAAATCTTAATGGGCTTGATTAAAAAGAAATTAGAAAACTGGGATTAGAAGTTTCGAATTAATTTTACTTACTCTTTTATCTTACCTTTTTTTTTTTTTTATAATCCAATTTCTCTAATTTTTTAAATCAAATTCATGAAATTTTTTTCTTCCCTTTATTTATTTCCTCACACCAAACAATATCAAGGAACAAAAAACCGGACCGGACACTAAACCGGTTGAGGTAGTGGTTCAAGGGTCAATGGGTCAGATCGGGGTCAAACCGGGATCAAACCGGTCACATTAAAATGATAAAATTTAATTAAAAATAACAAAGTATAGCAATATTAATAATCACTAATAACAAAATGTAAGGAAATACAACAATAATTTGATTGTAATTAAAACAAAATACAATAACATTAAGGATTTTGATCTTTATGATTTCTTAATAACTAAAATTAATAATTATTAATACCAAAATTATTATTAAAATTCATTTAAATATATAGTGATTGAAATATTAGGAGTTGAATAAGAAAAAATAAGATAAATAGCAAAATATCATTCAAACCGGTTCATTACCGGTTTATACCGGTTTATGCCGGTTTGCACCGGTTTATCCCGGTTTGACCGGGTTGATGCCGGTTCATTTTATGACCGGTTCATTGCTTTAACCGGACCGGACCACCGGTGAACCGGCCAGTTCGGTCCGGTTTTTTTTTCCACTGCAATATAGCAGAAGCAATGGGGATACACATGTATCCACCCTCAATTCATAAAAGATATTGGGTGTGGGCAAACATTGTTTAATGTTTAATGAGTAAACCAGAAAACCCACTTAGAGAGGAAAAATGAACGTCCAGGTGGCCTGGGAATGTGCGCGAGTAGGATGGGTTAGATGGTGGCCCAACAGATACATTGAGTGGACCACTTGGCCTCGAGGCCTGGGTCTAACTCGATTGGCCCAGCGTTAGAACCAGGCTTGATCTGTTGTTATCGAAATAAACCTAATTAACAAAAAAGTCTTGTAGCGAAAAAGAAGTCATGTGTGCAAAGTAGTACAAAAGTAAATAATAATACTAGTAGTTATAGTAATAATAATAAAGGTTAGTATCAGCTTCCGTCTTTAAAATTTGACTTTATTTTTATTTTCATCTTTGAAATTTGAAACTAGTGACTTTGATTTTAGAAATTTGACCTTATTTTGGACCACCTAAAGACTTTTAATCCTTGCCTTATTGTGTTTAGTCCTAAAAAAAGGTTTCACCAACCAAAACCAATAGTTTCAAATTTCAAGGATGAAAATCAAAATGAAATCAAATTTTAAAAATTGAAGATCATAAGTCAATAAATTAACTCAAACATACTTTTCGTTTATTTTTGTGAACATGTAAATTCTATTCCGAAGAATAAATTTGACCAAATTTTGAAAAAGGTTTTTGATTGTAAAATAGCTTAAAGAATTTAATTATGGTAGAAAAAGAATTAGGTTACAATATTAAAATGCTACTATAGTTACTAAGAGTTTAACTTAGTTCAAGAACAACACAAAGAACTTAGGGCACACAAACAAACCTACAAACCCACCAAGAATCATCACTACAAGACTCATGGTACAAGAAAAATAAAAGACCAAGCCCAGCCCACAAGTCATAATTACTTAAATAATCATTTAACCACAACGTGATACAAATAAACAACATCAATAAGTTTTCCAAGAAGTTAAGCGTGAATCCACAATTGGTCACGTGCAATAGAATCCTATGGTCTTTAGCTATTCTACCAGCACTAATACTCCATCAAAATATAGTAATAAAATTTTTTTAGTGAAAGTAAGTGTATAAGTGAATACAAAGACATGAACCCTAAGATGACAATATAAATACATTATAAGCCTAAGCCAGAAGAGGTCTATTAGGCTGTGTACACTTATGCCTTAAGGTGCTTTCCCTTACATCGAGTTGAATTAGAATGCTCTCATGAAAATAGTGAAGAACAGTGGTTTGAGGTATTTAAGTCCTAGTAAGTGGTTTCAAAAAATTATAAATATGAGAAATAAAATAGATTGAAGTCTTATATTTAGGACCAAATCTGATTTCCTAATTAACTATTATATGAAGTACCAAATGTAGTATTATGTTAATTATGATTTCAATTGATCTTGATTCAACTATGATTAGTCCACTAATCCTTGAATTATTGTCATAGTCAATTTAGTTATTAGTCCACTGGTCCTTGAATTATTATCACATTCAATTCAGTTAGTGGTCTAGTTTTCAATAACTTGGAAATAATATTCACCTTTTCTTTTGTGCTAAAAGTGTTAATTAAATAGATTATGCAAAAGTACACTTTAAGTTTTAACTTTAGGCAAGGTTTCTTTTAATGGAAAATTTTAATTAAGGACCGTAGTAGCTAGTTTATTTTAAACAGCCTCCAAAACATTATGAAATTTCAATGGAGGACTTAGGGACAAAGGGAAATTAATTATAGAAAATAAAAGACAATAAAGCTCTTGTTAATTGTTGCTTGAAATTTGAAAAGAAGAGGGCTGAAAATATGAGAAAATTTCATCCCACTTTTCCCTCTCACTAAAAAATATCACTCACATTCCTTACTCTTTCCTTTCACAACTCTTGCATCTCTCCCTTTCTGAAAACTCTCAAACATGCTTCAACGGTTGAGAGAGATTCTCATCATCGCCGTTGTTCTAGTGTAGCCATTGTCGTGGACAAAAGAGGAAACTTGAAAGGTCGTCGCTTTGGTGTTTGATAGTTGGTACAACAAAAAGAAGAGGAAGGAAAAACAGACATCGATTGAAAGGCCATCGACAAAAGAGGAAGGAAAAGTAGAAGAAACAAAAGCCAAATACAAGAGTGAAGTTTGGTGAAGGTAAGCCTCCTTATAAATCTTGAATATTCTATTTGTCTAATTGGATTTATTTGGAAGTGAGATAGGCTAATGGACTCCTTTTTGTGAGACTGAATCTTCCAATATTCTATTAGTATATTAAGAAAAAATCATCGATTTTTTGGGTCTATTTTAATGATGGATGCTCTGTTTTTTTACTTTTGACAATGTTGGATTATTTGTTTATCTTTATTTTGGTTTTTGTGATGAGTGGTCTGTGAATAAAAGTGTTAGTGGGAACATTATGTTTAGGATAAGGTTTGGGCTTGAGAGAAGAACTCAATTTTTGTCATTGTTTGTTGTTTAGTGGCCTAACAATTGAAGTTAGACAATTTACCTGAAGAACTAGTGCATTTACAAGTTGATTGTGGTAATTTGATATTTAGTGGCCTAACAATTGAAGTTAGGCAATTTACGAGAAGAAGTAGTGCATTTATGAGTTGATTGTGGCAACTTGACATTTAGTGGCCTAACAATTGAAATTAGGCAATTTATTAGAAGAATTAGTATATTTACAACTTGATTGTAACAACTTCATGCATCATCCTATAACAAGTAAAGTAGAGAAATTTTCAATGATAATTAGTGTACTTACAAGTTTGGAGTTTATTTAACAAATGGAGTTGCATGTAATGGATTTTACTATACTATTTAGTGTACTTATTAATGAAATAGTAATTATTATGTGAAGGCTTAAAAAGATGACAAAGAAGAATCCAGAAGTTATTGGGTGGAAGATATTTAAGGCTGAATTTTAGGGAAATAACAAAGAGGAGATATATAGGATGAAAGCAATATCAAATGCTACATCAGAAGTGTGGAAGAAAATGACAAATGTTGAGAAGGAGCTATGTAGGAAAAAAGAGGAGAATTTGACAAAAGAAAAGAAGAAGAAATATGTGACACTATTTTTGACCTGATTTTTTCCATCTATATTCAAGGAAGTGGCTAATTTTGTCCAAGGGAAAACAAATTTAAAGAATATGGTAGAAAATTTAGGGTTTGGGAAACTATTATATATCATGCTGAAGAAGATTCCAAGAGATTTATCTATGGGGGTTATATGTTCCTATGATCCTCCCACAAAAAAACTGACTATAAGAGGGAAGACATTAACTATAAAACTTAAAGTGGTAAAAGTATTAATGGGCTTATAGAATAAAGGTTTAAAAGTGAAGTTAGATGACTTAAAGGATGAAGTGAAAGAGCTGAAGTGAAAATATACGTCATTGACATATATTGAAGTTGGGGAAAAGCTAATGAGTAAGAAAGATGATGCAATGTTGGAGTCCTATTTTGTTCTCTTTACACCGGGAACTTTTTATCCTATTGAAAGTGCAAATGTTAGTGAGAAAGTGTTAAAAGTAATGGCTTGCACAGAGAATACGTGGGTAGAATTTCATTGGGCAACATTTGTGCTTGATAAAGTCAGTAATGAAATACAATGGTACAATATAGGCAGTAAAGAAGTAAAGCTTGAGGGCTTAAAAGTCATTAAAGGCTGCATCTAATTGTTACTGGTACTTATATATTTGCTTACATAATTAAATGGAAGATTTTACTAATTACATTATTCATGTATTGCTTAATTTGATTGATAACTTATTATGTTTTTTTTTCAGCTTTACTTTGCAAAGCTTCCCATTGGCAAAAGTTGTACACAAAACATGTGATGTAATTAAGTATTGGGATGATAAGGTTGTAAAGAAGAGAACTCAAGTAGAAAAGAAAAGTCCATGTGGCCTCTTGTTCAGTCACACTATTGGTGAAGTAAAGTCATCAACACAACCAGAAGGGACAAGCTTCCAAGACCCGGTAAGTAGTATTAATGTAGTATTCTCATTCGGTGAGAGTATCAAGATGACAGACTCACTCTCTGTA